TTCTAAAAGTCTACGGTGTTCTAAACATAAATTTCAGCATCTCTAGCGCTAGTCATCCCTCTCACGAAGTTCATTATAATTTATTGCGGTTCTAAAGGAAAATAATACCATAATAACAATTACGATGTCGGGGAGCTTTCACTCTATTAAAGAACTAGCGTTCCTCAATACAAGGCACGTGTTTGTTCTTCAATCAAACACTATTCTAAACCAAGAATTTTTCAATGAGTAAACAGTTTAATGCAAATAAAATTAATGAAGAATAAATAGGAACACAAACAACAATTATACAACCCTTACACTCGATCAAACCCCGCCGTATGAACGTAACCCTGATCTTGCGTTTCAATCAACTTCCAATTTGATCCACAAGATTCAAGTCTAAAATCGACAACTTTAAAACTTGAGGCGTGCCTGCAAAGATCAAAAGAATGTTCTTGAAATACCTGGCTAAAATAATGAATATAATGGCAATAAACAAAATTACCTTGACACACGAAAATAATACATATAATACAACACGATTTACCCCTTAACATTTAACAATCACAAAACATCAAAAATAATCACAAAGCTTCCAAGGAACGCACCTCCACGGCAAGATCAACCGGTACAGTGACAAATGGAACACACTGCGCTAGAGGTAAAAGATAAGGTGAATGAAAACTGAAAATGATTAACCAAATCCTAAACCTAGAGTACATCACAACTTAAAAATTAAATATGTCATCATATTTAATAATATATGATAACATATCTTTCCAACGCTTAGGTCTACCAATTGTTTCAGTTAATTTCTCATCTAAGTTATGGTACAGTTCATTAAAACCTTTAAGAAATTTTACAACCAAAACTGACATAGTTACTGCAACTTCGCATAATAAGAAGGATACAACATGAAGGAAAATAAAAGTCGCTCGTTGTTAAATATATTTCATCAATTCGAATTGAACCGATGAAGATCAAATTGATCGGAATCTGTCCACAGAATAGCAGGTGAATGAATAATTTTAACAAAATTATCTAAGAAATCTTATGATAACATTGTTTTAGTGCATTCAGTTTAAGGAAAATCATTTATTCATCCCAAAATAAAATAATCTCATTTCTTGAATGTTCATATTCCTTGGAAATGGAAAATCGTGTGTACAAAATTGCTGTGCAATTTAAAAACTTGTATATTAATACCAATGATCTTGTAAAGATTACAATTCCAAAAGCACTCCCACGCCGTGAATACAGCATACGCTTGAATGTTGTAATCGCGCCCATAGTATGTTAGTAACTGATTACTGGCCAGTAGATTCCTAGACGCCACTCATCTCAGACCAGACCTATAGGTCTGCGCAGCACGGCCTATGGCAGCGTAGCAGTTTTGACTGGGGGGCTAGCTCGCACGTTAGGCTTGCTTTTCTCATGGAATTTCTCTCCGTGTCCTGAGCCCATAGCACACACGTAAAGCAGCGCAGCCGTCTACAACGCAGCGCTTGGCCTGGCTTGTCACTTGACTAGGCGGTTGGCTATGGGGGAGCCGAGAAGTGGTGAGGGACGATCTGCGCACTGATGGCCTTTAGTTTAAGGTGAGAACACGGCACGGCTCCGGGAGTGCTATTGTTTCTCGTTCAGTATGAAATACTTTCCGATCTTCTGAGCACGATCCATTAACTTAAATGCTTCATTGTCTGGTCAAATCACATTTACAATTTGGAATTCTAATCTAAATTCATTCTGTAAGATTCTTAATTGATCAGAACTCTTTATGTTTTATTTCTACAGACGTGAAGTGGCGCTAAAGGTGGAGGGTGTCTGGAGCGGAGTCTGAGACCTTGGAACTTGCCAAAGAACTCGATCTTTCAATAAACTGGTGCACTGTTTCGACTCTTAGTTTCACCTTCCCCATAAATTTAGTGCATCGTGTTATTATTGCTACAATCAATATGCACCATTAACAATAGCTCGTTTAGTCGACGGTAGTTCAAGGCATAGATAATTCTATTAATAATCAACACTCAGGATACTTGAAATAAATTGAAACCTTTGTTTCAGTGAAAACCATGGATTAACAAATATAAATAAAAAGGAAAACCCTGCACACAACGGTTAATTGGATTAACGCAACCAATGTCTGCATCAAAGCAAATAAATAATAAAATATTTTGATTATATACTCGTTATGTCTCGGTATTTAAGTTAACGTGCTAAACTGTTGCACTTTTAGTAGGAGCTCACACATAATTCTACTATTCAATATTAAGAAAGTTTGGAAATGAAATTGGAATGTTGGTTTAGTCAATGAATCAAGAAACAGCGAAAATTTCGAACATTTGAACAGTGAAGTAGAGGCTGTGAGCTGTTGTCCCAACAGCTTATTGAATTAACACATCTAGCATTAAAATTTAAGCCAGCTTTTGGTTCTCATTAATTGCAATAAAGGTCGGCACAAGAACTTTGATTACAGATTCCAAATCTTTCGTTCTTCAATGTTTTCACCGTTAAAGTCAGCGGTGCTAAATACTTTCTCTAGTCAAAGCTGTTGGCGGCCAGAATGTGCTAACAGTGACTGTAAACATCGTGTAAAATCCGAGTGCAGACAACAGACAAAGTAGAAAGATAATGTGCACACTGTCGGCTACCACTGGATTTTTCAAAATTTTATGTTGCTCTATAACCTTAAGGCATGATTGATAATTATAAGGCTTTTTCGTAAACTACGATGCTTAATTAAACGCAACATTTGATGAATTGTCCATTACTTTTCAGATGAAAGCATAAGAAGCTATAATATAGGAGTTAGAAGTTTGTAATTGCAAGTTATAGGAACAACTTATGCCTAAGATTTTACTTTCATTTGTCCCTTTGCCGTCTGCTCAGATCTTGAATTTTGTCCGTTTTCATTATTTCTTTTTATGATGAATAAAATGACGGAGATTAATTTCAATTTATTGATGGTCAGGTTTTTATTTTTTTATCTTAATTATTTATTTATTTTATTTTTTTATTCATCCAGATACATTGAGAATTGTAATTTACGAAAACTAATACCTGAACAACTCATCTCACATATTTGAGATTCATCCAGTCAAAGAGCCAGTGTGAAATGGTAAACATTTCAAGATTATTATAAATCGGATTTCATTTGCAACAGTCATCGGCTGATGACCAGTTCAAAAACAACTTAACTCACGCATCAGCTGTTCACACGCACAGTCACAGCACAGTCGAGAACAATTTTCTCGAGGTAAACAGAAGAGCGTGTTTATTTGCGACTGCAATTTGCTAAACACATAATTCAGAGCAACTCACAACACGTAACAGGCCATTTATAAAAGTAATGCGCTCAACTCACACATGTAATATACCTACTGCCAATGAGCACGAATACAATTTATTTTTAGTTTAGTGAATATTCAAGTTCATTTTCGACAGTCACCGACCGAAAAATTGGGGATCGGCTCAATTTGCGCCGGAAAAATATAAAGCTTAAAATAAAACTGCAATTGAAAAAGAAACTTCCTCTTCGAAGTTGGTGAAGTTTCGCGAAAGCAGAAAGAGAAAATCTTAAATTAAAAAATACTCGAGTAACCCATCATGAAATCCTGCAGTCAGTCAGCTAGTGAATAATGAAAGAATTCCTGGCGTTTGAACAATATCCGAAATAAAAAAAAACTAGAAGTAATTCTAATCATATTTTCTCATAATTCGAGGAATTCATTCACTTCACCACGACGAAAGCGTCAAATTAACCTTATTATAATATATCCCTTTAGTGCGGTGAAACTACTCAAGTTCAAAGACAGGAAATAAAGCCTTAATTTATGTCAGGGAACTCGCTGAAAAGATTCGTCAGACATTTCTAACTATCATTCAATCTTGAAGCATTTATTCCCTCTAATCTACGTGCTAACCTGAAAAATCATCTCCTTAGTGACGGCAATTCCAACACTTCATTTCTGTGCAGCTAAAATAATCATTGATTAAAAGAAAGCAGGCGGTTCCTATCTCAGGAAAATATCGCAGGAATCTCAGACAAATTTTACAAAAACTTCAGTCAAATCCTCATACTGAGTTCGAGTTTGAACTCGGAAAACACGTGGACAAATCCCGAATGAATATATTCGAAATTTCGGAATGATATCTTTTCCACTTAAAGACGAGTGAACCTCCTAACAGTTTATGAATCGCTAATAAATTTGCAATTAAATAATAAATTTCGGTTCATCATAATTATTTATGATGGCATATCCTTCCAACACTTAGTTCTACCAATCGGTTCAGTAAATTTATCATCTATGTTTTGGTACAGTTCAGTAAAACCTTCAAGAGATTTTACAACTATAACTGACGTAGTTACTGCGGCTTCATATAATAAGAAGGAAACGACATGTAGGAAAATAAAAGTCACTCGTTGTTAATTATATTTTATCGGGTCGAATTTAAACGATGAACATCGTATTGATCGAAATCGGTCTACAGTACATCAGATGAGTGGATAATTAGTCCTGACACATTGCGGTCAATTTAATAGAATGATTATAATAGAAATCTTAGAATAAAATTATTCAAGTGCATTCAATTTCTGGAAAAGCATTTATTCATCCAAAAATAAATTAATCTCGTTACCTGATATTCTTTTTGGTAACGGCAAATCGTATTTTCATTGCTACAATCAATACACACCATTAAGCACAGACCGTTTAGTCCACAGTAGTTCACGTAGTAGATAATTCTGATATTCAGCAATCAGGAGGTTAGAAAGAAATTGAAATCTTTGTTTCGGCAAAGACCAAGGATTGACCAATTATTGAATATTGAAAATTGATAAGAAACAAATCGCCATAGCTATTATTCTCCTTCTCGGTAGCTTATAACACTAGCTTACACGTCCGCAATTTATTTTTTTTAATTGCGATGTCCGACAAAAATTTCTAATGTCGGCACTGACTTATTAAATTTTAAAAAGTACGAAAAAATTGTAATTTAATTTTTGCACCGGAACCTACAAATTTACTCGTAAATATTGGATTGCAGGCCTTTTTGTCCGCGGACTTGGTCGTTTTTTTGCCATCTGCAACCCTTGTGGGTAGTGCCATACTCACAGTGTTAAATGTAAAATAATTCACCAGATATCATAAAAAAGAGATTCCGCATGAAAAATGAAGAATCATTTCTTACGCTGAGAAAGAGGTAAGGCTGGTACAAGTTTATACATATGTGAGAACAGACTAAATCAATCACAATGAATATTTACTTCTGAGACTATTCAGGGCGTCCTTGCGCACAGTACTGGCAAGTCATTCATCAAGAACGGTTGATCTAATAACGTGCCAATTTTTCCATCGTCACGGAGCACGGATGCTCCCACATCACTGATGAATGAGAAGAAGTCGTTTGCAGTGAAGATGCAGCCAATCACCGGGGTGTTGTCAGGCCAGTGGTAAGGGCCGTTGTTAGGAGTTTGGTGAGCGCTCAGCCAGGCCGCGTGATCGGTACCAAAATATACCCATTTTCCATGGTCTGCAAGGAAGCCGCAAAAAATTAGTGCAAAATCACTTAATTTCACTGCCAATTAGAAATCTAGCCAGACCGCTGTACCTACAAGGTTTGTATTCCGTCCTCTGCAGAAGAACTCTGAGAAATCTGTGTACAAGTTCATTTTCCTTCACTGAACAATGGTAACTACGAGAAGCTGATTTTTCTGATCAGCCCAAGCTAACTCCCATTCATGTTAAATTTGAGTTTTAATCTGTTATATTTAAATCAAATAGATATAAATCAAAATGGGAATTATTTTATTAAATGTTCATAATTGACGGTTAATAGCAGTTTCTGACAAACGAATTCCCAGGAAGGATGGCGGATCGTTCTTAGAAAGACGTAGAAGAACTGAAAATTCCGCTATAAACCATTTAGCCAATATTCATGGTTGCGCTTGACATAACCTTAAATGAACCATAAAATTTCCTGCATCAGGTTGTCACGTGAATCAAGTTTGAAATATGGCCAAAGTATATTACCAGCGACGAGCTGCCTAGCTTCTCGAAGCAGTTGCTTGGTGTTGATGATGAGCGGAACCCCGCCTTCTGCACCGCACATCTTCTTCAGGTTGTCGGGAGATCCGTTGCTCGTTGTGCCTTTGAGATGTGTATAAGAGACAGTAATTTGTGTTCCATCCTAGATTGCNTATTGACTCACACGCCGCTGATGCCGTCATGTTTAGCTCTGGATGAAGTACGGTCACGTTCATCATGATCGTCTGAAACACCACGGCGTCTGCGGCCGTTCCAAGCAGCGTAACTATCGTTAACAGCAACAGCGGCCCCGCTCGCTGATGGCCATTGTGAGAAGCCATCCTGAGTACTGAAGTGGTCTGGGGAGGACGACGCGGTCTTTTATATCCTAAATAATGTGACCAATTGAGAGTTTTTAGACTTTTATGCAGCCTTAAGACCTCTATTTATGATTGATAGATTGTTGCAAGCTACGATGCTTTATCAAACCATAGGTAAATTGTTTATAACTTTCAGGATGTAAGCGAGTGAAGCTCAAGAAGTCTCGAATTCGTGAATAATCGAATTATTTTCTTTGTCGTGCCATTAGATGTCTATTCTCAGTTGACGAACAAGTTTTGATGACGCGTTGAGAATGGAGCGGCTAAGAGTTTACAATTGCAAGGGACATCATCAATTTATGACAATGGTTTTTAATCATATTTATACCATTTTCGTCTGCTCAGATGCGGTAATGTTTAGGTTTGTACGAAGTTTGACGACGCGTTGAGAATGGAGCGGCTAAAAGTTTAATGAATAATAGTTGGATGAATATAAATCGATAGAAAAAAAACAATCAAAATGTTTTTACAATTGCAAGGGACATCATCAATTTATGACAATGGTTTTTAATTATATTTATACCATGGTCGTCGTCTCAGATGCGGTAATGTTTAGGTCTTTACGAAGTTTGATGGCGCGTTAAGAATTGGGTGGCTAGAAGTTTTCATTGCAAGGGACATCACCAATTTATGACAATGGTTTTTAATCATATTTATACCATTGTCGTCTGCTCAGATGCGGTAATGTTTAGGTCTGTACGAAGTTTGATGGCGCATTGAGAATTGGGCGCTAGAAGCCTCACCGATCCATGCTGATATTTTTAAATATATTTATGACATTGCCGGCTGCTCAATTATTTAATTTCGCCTTTTTGCGTTCTTTCTCTTTCCATAGTTGAATGATGGAATGAATTTCTTATATTTTTAAAGCAATTATATCAGAACGCTAAAATCAGCTCTGATAGTTCTATCATATATAAAATCAATCAATAATTTTACTTATTCAGTGCTAGTCTTATATATATATATATATAGATATGAGTTAATAAATAATTACTTAATTAATCAGTTAACAATCTAATCGATGAATGAGGTGGGAAAATCTCGGAACGTCTGAAACACCACGGCGTCTGCGGCCGTTCCAAGCAGCGTAACTATCGTTAACAGCAACAGCGGCCCCGCTCGCTGATGGCCATTGTGAGAAGACAGGACGACGCGGTCTTTTATAAGCTACCGAATGTGTCCACTTAAAAATTTTCAGAATTTTATGTTGTTCTAAAACCTCAATTTATGATCGATAATTATTGGGCATTTTCGTAATTTAATGCTTAATTAAACGCAACATTTGATAAATTGTTCATTACTTTCTGGATGAAAGCATAAGAAGTTATTATATAGGATTTAAAAGTTTGTAATTGCATGTTATAAGAGCAACTTTTGCCAAGGATTTTACTTCTATTTGTGCGCTTGGCGTCTGCTCAGATCTTAAATTTTGGCCATTTACATCATTTCGTTTTAGGATGGATAAAGTGACGGAGATTAGTTTCAGTTTGTTGATGGTCAGGTTTTGCGATAATTGAGCTCATAATGAAAGAGAGATCTAAGAATTGCTGGCATAAATTATGGAATTAATATTTTTATCGCAATGCTTAGCGGCTTTTCGCAATCAAAGAACGCAATTTGGTGACTCGCTGAGAATATAATGACTAAAGTTTTTTAATGCAGGATATTACGCTGATTTATACTGATGATCGAAACATTTTTTGCTGCTACTGCCTTCACTTATGACAAAACTCAATTTTTTTAGACGGTACCTGAGATTTAAAAATTCTTATGCCGTGAAATGAGAGAGGCTGTCCTGGTCAACATTAGAATTTTCAAAGTTCTGGTAGTGAATCTTTTTTAAATTCTATGCATTAAAAAATCAACATTTATGCACGCATGGAGCTGAATTCTTAAAAAATACATATAATCGAAATAATCCTGTAAAATAATTATCATTGTCATGCAATTCTACGGAATTCCAAACATAGATTTCAGTATCTCGCTAATCATATACCATTCTTAACTTCTATTCAAATTAAAATTGCCATTCAATATTTTATGCAAGGTGAATTTGTTAATAAATGATATAATAATAATCATATAGCGGTTTCAACGTTTATCAGGCTGCAGGCCTGTCGTCGAATCTTAACATCACAGAACATCCACAGCTTGTTGAGGTATTGAACTCGTAACTCACTGCTTCAATTCTGCTGTGCTTGACCGCCCGGCCTCCTTGCCGATTCTGACCAGAAACTGGCGCACAGAGCTGAGATCGAACCCGCGCCTCTCTGCGCCAATCTTTGTACTCTGAACTTTAACCACTGGGCTTTTATTAAAACTAAAATTGCCATTCAATATTTTATGCAAGGCGAATTACTAATAAAATCTTTACTATTGTGGCAGAACTTTATTTACACGCTCATGAGCTTTGGAGTGTCCGTTTCGAAGCATTAGTTACGCATGTTGATGAATTATTTTATAGACATGCAAATACCTGACGAAATGTTAGGCCATTTGCAGACTCTACAAAGCTTTGAAAACATTAGCCACATATATGGTGGATATGGTGGATTATGGTGAAGGATTAGCCACAAATATGGCGGATATTCTATTTAAATCTGCGGGAGTCGTAGAGAAAACTATGTGCAACGGTGTTTTGTTCATTTATGCGGTGTGGTTGTCATTGAATTCTTGAATAATTACCATTAAAATTCAACTAACCGTGAATTTGACTTCCATTAAGTAAAATTGAGTTTTTTTTCTAGAGCTACTTAAACTCAGGTGACCATTTTGGTATAAGCTTCATCGAATCAACGCTTGCCATGAAGGTAGCCCTGAGAAGCAGGTGGTTCAATTAGTTCCTACCTAGTAAAAATGAACCAAACTGCATAAATTACAATAATAAATTTATTAATACTTAACAAATGACCTCTTGGAGAGCATGATTGAGGATCATTGCTAATATGTAAAGATTATGAAAATAATAGACCTTATGTCAGAGCTGTGAAGATGTTACGTACCGCAGCAGTGGGTTCAGTGTAATTATTCATTACCCTACATAAGCAATGTAAGTTAAAAGGCATACGTTGTAGCGGGCCAGATATTAGTCCCGCTTTGTGTACTAGATTTGAAGCCGCCGCACTACTCGACAGGTGACAGCAGAGAAAAATGTGCTAGACTAACTGTCGTCGGGTGTAGTCTGTTTCTAGTAGATAGCCACTTCTTCATACCCATTGTTGTGTCCATAACGATTTTCGTCAAATGTACCTTTCAAGTGTTATTGTATTTTGCGTTTTCAAGTCATTTCTGCAAATCTCTTGAGTAAATATTCTCCTGACTTCGTCCTTAGTCGTTTCAACCTTCCACGAACCGCAGGACCTGCTGGCAGAGACCTCTAAGTGTTTAGATGTATTAGTTTCCCGCTACAACGTGTTTAAGCATTTATCCTACAGTTGGAATCCAGCCAATGCCAAGGGAGCTGTCCCGCCCAGTTGAACGTCTTCCTATGGTCGTGACAGGCACTTAGCCATTAGCTGTGCTAAAAGTTAGGGATGCGTGCTCCACGAGCTGACTTTAACGGGCGAAGACAATTATTGTTCTAAACTTCACTTTGAATTTGGATAGTTAATCATAACATAGATATATCATAAATTTATTAACGGACAATACATTCATGATGCATTATACATTACAATAAATTCAGAATAGGAATATAATAACGGGCAATCGAGCCATCCGTTCATTTCATAAAATACCAAACAATCGAATCCGTCTGCTTTAATAAATTATGTACGATTAAGAGGATCTGACTGTTATAAAAACCAAAATAAACGCGTTTACTTTTTTGTCCAATCGAGTGTAATAGGCAGAATTTCAGAATCATTTATAATTAGGAAACATAAAGTTTGGATCACTTGCTTGATTTCAAACCTTAGTTCCGTGAATGCAATATTTTAGTAATAAGACTGTATAAGTATTCGGTTCATGAATTGAATGCAGTGAACCCAAAGTCACAAGGCAATATAAATAGTATTTTTTTAAGTGGAAAAGTGATATAATGCGAGGAATAATTGCCTCCTATCAGTAATTCTTGCGTAACTTTAATGATTGTTTCACTCTCATTGCATCCGGGAAAGTTAGTATATACAGTAGTTCCCTTGCCGTCTATAGGTTCCCTATAGTGAACTATAGGGAACTATTTAGGTTCCCTATAGTTCACATTGCCGTCAAATGCAGCCGCGACTGCATCAGTCCGGACAAATTACTTTGCTTTGTTGGAAAATAAGAGCCATGTAATGGCTCCAGATTCAAACATATAATTGTGCATAATTCACATCATTCTTGCACTAAATTATGTTTTTTACGGTTATGATTAAAAGTGAATTAGAGCACAACCTTATAATATAATTGAAACTTAAGCATTAACATTTTTTAGGTAAGTCATTTGCGCCAATCTAAATTAGTTTCTGCATTCTTGTACAATATATTTTGAACTATCATATTTTTTTCAGCGTGAAGTATTCAGGCATCAACTAATTTTGTCTGTAGAAACGTCTAACCAATGCCTTGCTGAAGTTAACAGTTGCTAATGAAGGCAAATTGATGATATATTATCTTTTAATTAAATCATATAACCTGGTAACACGACGGTTAAATGAATTGTCTGACGATACATCGGTCGACGGCTGGCTGAATCATCCAAATTCAAAACTAGCCAAGTAATTGAATAGTCTGAATTAGTAAGTGGATCC